TAATCTAAATGTGAACAAATATCTAGAAAGTAGTGTAGAAAGTAGTGTACAAAACTGTTATCTCCTTCTTATATATACAATACGTTGCACATATAAATCGATATTAAATAAGATGGATCAGTCTCCCTTCTATTTTGCATTAAATTATCACACATCCACAAGTTGGGAATAGATGTTAAAAAAATTATGCTCAAGTCGCGTATACTCTTTTTATTGTTGCATGCCGTTGTTGACCCTCTCTCACTGTCTTTCTCTCTCTCTCTCTCTCTCTCTCTCTCTCTTCATTGCTCTTGTGAGCGAAGTCATTACTGGATTTTACTGTTATATAAAAGTGAAAAGGTCTAATAATTTATTGCAAGCACATCTACACAAACTACACAATACTTCGAATTAGAAAATAGATATATTTATTTTATCGCTTAAGCCTTAAGTTCTGCTGTTTCTGATAAGAATTAATAAGACGGAACTTCACATGGAATCATCTTTAAAAATTCAACTTAACAAAGACTTTTTGTAGTTTACGACTTCGAAGCTCTGTAACACGCTTCGAAAGGATGTTAATATACGATATCTTACAATGCTCGTTTAAATGTGTGGCGATTGATATCAGCATTGGTTCTTTAAAACCTTTTGCTCAGGACAATAAATTCCTCTTTCATCTTTCGTCGCAAAATTTTAATCAACCTCTAGATACATCAATATTTTCCAGAAATCTAAAAATTCTTTGTACAAAAATCTTTTCAATATTTCATTAAATTTTCATTTTCATTATACGACATTGAAAATGTTACTCTTGCGAGGGACGAGTCGCGTAGTTTTTAATATTTTTGTTGTTGTTTACCTCATGTCAGGCAGCCGTTCTAGGTCGACTTCAATGGCTACTTGTAATGTTGATCAATGGCTGTCAAAAGAAAGTTTTCCAGGCAAATCATCCGATTGGAATTTCTATAGCTAATGAATTTTTTTATGTACGTTTTTCCTACATATGGATTGTTCAGACTATTGAATCTATGCACATATTCGGTAGCGAAGTTTCCAAAATTTCCAAAAAAAAATTCAAGCTTTCACAAATACATCTCCTATGCATCTCTCTCTCTCTCTCTCTCTCTCTCTGTGCTCATTAAACGCAGGTTGGAATTGGCGAAAGCCTTGATTTAATTGCCATTGATAATAAACGGATGCGAACAACGATTAACATTTAGGTTGTGAAGAATCACTTGTGAGATACGCAATTTCGTTCATATCTTTTTATGCCATGATTGCTACATTTTGACTTAAAAATAAACTTTTTACCCATTTTCAAAATTGAATCAACGTTTTCTTAAAATTTTCTCAAAAAGCGATATGCATTTAAGATACATGCTTTACTTTATATACGCTACAGGGCTTGTGATGCAAAGGTATATTAAGTTTGTGCGGATGTATACAATTCCCAGAAGGACTTGATATAGACTCAGCTTTTATCGTACCAATCGTTTCAAACTCACTTCCTGAGTCGATTTAAGCTTGTCTGTCCATCTAATATGCTTGCGTCTTTAACCTACCAGGCCGCAATTTTTGAGGCATACGACGTGCTTTATTGAAAGTGATTCGGATGAGATCACTTTTTCGATCAGTTTTGCTATAGCACATTATTGTGAAAAGTCCTTCTATGAATAAACGTATTAAGCGAAATTGTGGAGAGTTTTCAATGGTGGGCCGTGTCCTTCTTACCTAAAATTTCGTGCCACATTTAGGGTTTCCACTTAAGTTACAATACTGCAAAAATTCGATACACGCAAGTAAGCAAATGTATACATTAGAGTAGTTAAAGTTTGATCGCAAGTCCAAAGGACGTAATTTGTAAAAAAAAAAAGAAGATATAAATTCGAATATATAACCGGGCATGGTCACTCACTAAACGTCTTACAGGACACGACATCGCTTGCATCACAATCCAATGTTTTCGTAGGCTTGCCTAAATTTGGTAAAAATATTCGTTTTTTGGTGGAGAATTTATTATTCTTTGATTGGTTTCGTGAAGACTTTCATACGAATCCTCATATGGAAGGGGATCCGAAAAAATACACCTATGGAATCCCTGTTTGGTTTTAAATCACTATAACGAATCGATTGCCGATCATAAAATATGAAGAATTAAATCTGGTTGCGATCATAATCCTTATCCTGTGTAACAATTTTTATATGGTAAGGGGCTCAAAAGATGGTCACATCAGTTTCAAATTGGCTACATTTCTTAGATATGCTTTCACTGAGCTTCTTCGAAAAACATTACATTACAGTATTTTTCCAAATCATTAAAATTGTCCAATTGACTTCATGTTCAATATTGCTTGTCCCTCAAGTTAAGGGTATCTGTGTAAAATATTTCGAAAACTGTAAAAATTTAATTCACAAAGGCACTTGGCCAGGACGGGCATCGAACGAACGAACACATTTGAATCGATTCAGAAAATGATTTTAAATTATTCTGCACACACACATACAAACAGGTCGATAGATCTCCCATAGTCTAATTGAGTGTTGCATACGTCTTGTCCGGATTGAAAAAATTTTTTCATATTATCACTATTCGACGATTCGATAAACGAATATATTGGGAATAATTTCAAGTTGGATTTAAGTAAACAAGTAAAGTTGTTCGTGTGTATAAGCAAGCTTACAAATTACGGTCTTTATGGTAACATTGTCAATCTCATATAAGAGAATTAGCTCAGAATCATACAAAAAACAAATAAAGGAAATATGGACTGATATGGATGGTAACCTTTTGACACAACAAATTTAATACGCCATTATATCTTATATCTCAATAACAATGCCTTATGGAAAAAATGATTTTGTAAGAAATGTTGTTTCACGTCCTCCGGAAAACGAAAATAACAATTAATCGGATTAATGTGAAAGTGCCAAGCACCGGAATTACAAAAAGCATCAGACAAAAACAAAAAACACAAAAATATTTAGCGATGATTTGCTTTCTGTCTGCCTAATGGGCCCATATGGTAGTAGTCATCTTTATTATAAGTTTTGAAACAACACATGCCCATGCAATTATAAACATATCGTAAGTACGAATACGTTTCTATGGAATAAGTGAAAGTGCTTACGTCTTTAGAGGCTTTAATATTTCTATTCAGTTTTTTTTTTTTTTTTTTTCTAATTTCTTTCTATTGTTTTCCATAAAAATACGTGCCATGAATATAGGGTGTGCTGACTGATTTTGCAAAACAATATACTTGAAAAGACAATTTACCTCTCGCCTTTCACATAAAGATAAATTAAAAGCAAAAATTCTTATGGATTCTTATGGAGTTTTTATATGGTCGGTCCCCTTATTAGAAAACTTTGTTATTTAAATTATTTAATGAGATTTTTTTGAAATTCCAAAAGATAAACTAATAAATAAATTTATAATTAAAGAAAGTGTTTTGTTACACTTTGGCTTAAAGAATACATATATATGTGTATAAATATTTAAATAAACGCCAGGTTAGTTAACGTAAAATAACGTTCGTTTGTGAAATTCTTTTACTATTGAAAAGTCCATTGACTGTAAAAGATCAATATATGATCGATTACTACATTACCAAAAAAAAAAAAAAAAAAAAATCAGTTAATGTTTGTTACACACTCGACAAACATCTACTGCCACCTGTGTAAGGCGTTTACAATAAAAACTTTTCACACCTGAAAAGCAAATTATATTATCAACCGACACCTCTTATTGGCCTTACGTAAGTTCCGATTGTGGTATACGTTACACATATGTATTTACAGCGGCCTACAAAACTGCATTCGAATATTTAACATTGAAATCAGTAAAAGAAGTAAACGTGCAAACGCCACACAAGTAATAACTAAATGAATGCCATTACAAGCTTTAAATGAATGATCATTAAAAAAGTATGTAGAAAGCGAGAGAGAGAGAGAGAGACAGATCATCAATTAAGATCGCAAGATTGTAGGAATAATTTAAATTCAGCCATCATTATGGATTTTAATACATACTTTGTTTGATATAATACCTGATGCCCGTCCATTAATGGGAAAGTGTGTTTAGTGTTTAAACATTATTTGGCTATGGATTTTAGCTTTTTAGATATGTTACAAAGTAAATAAATAATTTAACATATCGAATTGATTGTTGTATCGAGAAGCCTTGTAAATCAAGTAAGCAAAATATACTTGCCTGAAAATAAATCTGGGATAAATATTAGCTGAATGATTTCAGTGAATAGTGTTAGATCAATAACTAAATTACCAAAAGAAATCGATTTAAGGCATTCTCAATAATTAAGGTATAATTAATTTTGTTTTTATACAAAATTTCGGCTATATCCACTAAACAAGGATTACGAGGAATATTAAAATCATAAGCAGCAGTAGAAAAGAAATATTGGTTTTTGAACAAGATTCGAAAAAGAGGGAAATGCAAAACTGCCTATTAAAGGACATGCAGTTTTCGTAAAAAATTTGATAAATTTGCTAACTCATCGAGACGTGCGGAAGGAAGCGACGCATTTTCAAATCGATTTGTGATACTTGCGCAACAGTAAATAACACAGAGGCAGATATAACTAAGTCTATAGTCATATATATTTACATATTTATAAATAAGTATATAAATACATATATATATACTTCACTTTATATACTTTATAATCTAATGCGTCCTGCTAGGTATTGCAAGCTGAATGGCAAAATTATTACACCCTTATCCTTACCCGTCGCGTAACCATATTATAATGTTTTATGAAGGTAAAAAAATGAATGGTGAAAACACGCACGCAAACAAAACGGAATGCAAGAAAAACACCAACAATGCAGACATGGCCGTATAATTGACAGGCAGTCTGTTAGGCTGACATATCTCATCATTTAAAGGTAAAACGAAATTGGCAACGTTTTTCAGTTTGATTTTAATATCTATTCTTCTTCTTTCTTATTTTATTTATTTATTTCACTTTTTTTATTCTCAGTTTCCATTCAATACTTACTTTAATTTAATCAAATTCTCTGTAGATTTAAATCGGTTTAAAATTCTTTAGTTTTCTTTTTCACTTATTTTTTATTTTAGTGGTTTTTTCAATAAAAAAAAAATATATATATATATATATATATAAAAATAAAACACATCAGCAATAAATGTATTTTCTCTTTTCTTCCTCGGAAGCGATTATTTATTTTTAAAATATATTAGGATATGTTGTAGCCGCCATACGTCTTTTTTTTTTTTTTTAATATTTATTTATTCATTATATTTATTTTTTTTTTTTGCTATGAAATTACTAAAATGTCTTAGATACTCATTTATATATATATATAAATAACTTTTCTTCGTTTTAATGTAAATTAATTTTTGCGGTCTTTCACTTTGGCGGTTTAAAAATGGGGGAAAAAAAATGTGCTCCTATTGATAAAAAAAATATTTTGAGTTTCTTTTCTATATTATGTCTGAGAAGCACATGTCCTGCATAAATATTGCTTTGCATTAACGAGCCAAGTGTACCTAATGTAAGAAACAATGCCGAAAATCCGAGAAACACACGTTTTCCATTCAATATATTTACGTATATTAATTCCCACAAGCTCTTGCGACAAGAAATTCAAGCACCCTTATTGTTCAAAGCAACTGACAACACTGTGACGAGACTGGCGAGACTGTAGGCGCTGCTGTAGTAGCAACAACAGAGAAAGAGAAAAAATACCTGAAAGAAACGATTGAGCCGACTGAGCCGACTGAGACTGTAGGAGCAACAAAAACGGCAAAATACGAAAATACATATTAACTTGCTTAGCTTGAGATGAGGGGTATATTCGTTTTATCAATCTGTTTGCAACACTTAAAAGGAAGCTTCATAAACTCCATCAAGTATATATATATATTCTCGCCAGCATCACCTTTTATCTAATTACAAGCATTTATATTTATATTATATTATATTATTTTATTTATGTATATATAAGAAAATATTGCCCCTTTGAATACCCTTTATTACTCTTTATCTTTTAGTATTCACTATTATTTATTGCTATTATGGTTAAAAAACAAAAGTGGACATGAAGAAAATAAATATTACAAGTATGGACATTTTTCATCATATTGCATTCATTTTTCATTCATATCATTGCAGTTTTATACCCATCACCGAAGTATCAGGGGTATATTTATTTTACCAAAACGTTTGCAACGTCGAGAAGGACGTATCAGAGACCTCACAACGTACATACATTCTTCATCAGCATCAAATTTTGAATCGATTTAAGCATGTCAGTCTGTCCGTCTGTGTAACGTCTGTTGTAAACATACTCCTGGCCTCAAAAATCAAGCTCCTCATCGTCAAATTTGGCAAAAACATTGGAAGTTCTTACAGGCAGATTGGTTTAGAAAGCGAGCTAAATTGGCCGAGGGAGACCCTCAAAATACCGCGTAAACTGCAGCCACATCTGTTTTTCAAAGGAATAAAAAATTGTTTTTTCCTCATAAATACACAAAAATTTGAACCCATATTTTATGGGCGATGTTGCAGCATCTTTGTACAAATATGGAAGAAATTGACCACGCCTCCTCGACATTATAACACAGCAAGCTTCAAAAATCCCATAGGGTATACAAATTCTTGGACAGTTTCAAATTTGGAATGCGCCTAAACATGCCGGGCTATACGTTTGTCCATCTGCCTTTTTACGCAACTTTGTAGTATTTGTGATAAACAAATTTGAAATTGACCTAAACTTTTCAAAGGATCCGCCTATATGGGAAAACATTGCATTTTGAAAATAGAAGAAATCAGCTGCGCCCACTACGTATTATGGAGTATAAGAATTTTCTTCTTTTACTTCTTTTGTCTATTTTTCGGGATAAACGGTGATGGGTATAAGAGGTTCGGTCCCGACTGAATTTAATTTTCTCACTTGTTATATAATATTATTACTATCGCATCTACTCGGAAAAATGAATGTAATGCAATAAGGGCGAGTTTATAGTAATTTAGTTTTGAGAAAATATTTAATGAGCTAGATAGTATTTTAGGTTGAAAGGTCTATTCGACTTTTCGATTTTTTAAGGTTTATAAAACATGAATAAATGGAGAAATGTCAGAGAATTGGTGAACAACACAATGCCCATGGAATATCTATATAGCGATTTTAAAGCTACTTTGAGGGGAGTACGTTCATAGATCTTTCTTTATATTCATTCATTCATAATACGGGATTCAAATGTAAATCTTCAATTTATAAAAAGTTATGGGCGATAATATCCGTACACTGGTTAACCCTTTATTTTATCCTGGCGATATCTTTTCCAAATGTATCGAAAGTTTAAAATTTTGATAAGAGTTGAAGGATATTTTTACAACGCGAACGATTCTTCTCTTATATATAGATAAAATAAAATTATATTATCATTATTAAAATCAAAAAAGTTAAAAACAAAACATAAAAGTTAAAACTGCAATTATTATGATTAACTTTAGAAATTAAAAATTCCATACAAAATTAATTATTTATATACTTATTTAAAATATTTTGTACTATTATTTTATAAATTTTTAACGACTTCAAAATATTCAAAATATATGTATGTATGTATGTATGTATGTATGCATGGATTTTGCTTTCTTATTTAAAATTTCATTTCTTTGAGAGTAAAATTCACTTTGTTATGAGAGTTCAAAATTAACTAACTAACATTTATCTTCATTTCACTCTTCTATTTCTTTCTTTCTCCTGCAAATACTTCAAAAAAGAAAAAAAATACCCTCTCAGAGCAAAGAAAATTTCACAGAACCCCACACACACAATATATATATCTATATATATTTATATATATTCTCTTATATTATTGAGTTTGAATGGTTGAAATGTGACTGTGTTGCTTTGGTCGGAGAGGCCGAATTAAATGTTCAGCTGTTTCAAACAATTTGTTTCCGTCTTTCTCTTAACAGCCCTACAATGCAAAGATGAAAACGTTAATAAAGATTAAAGCATAAATTTCATGATTCGATTGAAAGCAATTCGTGTAACGCAACCTTGCTAAGCAAAATAACTTGTATCAGGATGTTACTAAGCACATATTTATGCGTTGAACAAAAAAAATTAACAAATAACTTACGCCATATAAGCGAGTTTTGTTGTCGTCAGTTGGCATCACTGCCACCCAAGTAGTCAAGCAAAAATTATTGATAGGTAATAAGAGTAAACACATCTATGAATGAAAGTGTTAGCAGTAAGAGAGATAAAAAGATGAAAAGAGCGCGAAAGCGAAATGAAAAGAGAAAGGAGAAGGAATTTTGAACTGTCGTATGTGTACTCTTCTTATTTAAGCCTCATTAACGCAATGGTTAAACACCTAAAAAACGATTGCATGCAAGGGATAAGAGAGATAAAAAATTAATAAATTGCTTGCTTGTCTTTCGATTGTATCTTTTTCACTCTTAACAGTTTGTTAGGAAAAATGTACTTTCATTATTTACCAAGAACGCAAGAATATTAAGATAATTACTTAATAAGTAACCTTATTGTAAATTTTCGAGAACATTTTCGTTTTTTTTTTTTTTCGTTATTTCGTATTGGGTTAATAAATGATTGGAAAGTTCGAGAATATGTGGACAAAAATTTATTGCATAAAAGAAATTTTGAGATATTTTCCAGGCGCTGCAAACATTTGTCGAAGAACAAATAAATGATAGAATGGCATTTTTATGGGCGTACAATGCCACACTAGTGGGAAAAAATAATAAACAATTTATTATAATGAAGAAATTTTTATATAACCCATGGCAAATCGTTAAATGCGTGTTTTTCGAAAATACGATTTTTCAAAAATGCACACAGGCGAACGTCAGCGAAGTTCATGCGAACATTTTGCAATATTTTTAAAATAAAGTTCCAGAAAGAACTGCACAAAGCGAATTTTTGATTATATAATTTAAACATATCTTATTAACAGAATATTGTTTTCTTTTTTTTTCTTTTTTTTTGGGGGCAAAAATTGAACTTTTTACTGACACGTTCGACAATCACAAAAAAATCAATATTTTTAAAATGCGCTACATAGTTCTCTAGCTATAAGCATGTCGATTAAAAGAGTCCGTTAAGCTAAACATATTTCGCAAGAAATACTCCAGGGTTGCCACGTTTTTTTTATATTTTTCCAAAACAATTTCTAATACTTAACGTTTTGCTTGATAAATTTCTCACAAAAAAAATATTCTGACACCTTAAGTACTTGATAATTGTAATCCTGTCTGAGTCCATAATAATACTATAACATCCATAAGACAGAGAAGAAAAGAAAATGCCCATAAGTTTCAATGCCTTATGTACGAAATAAGCTTAAAAGTATGCAATGATACTGCATTGATCATCATCTGTTCCATATGTTATAAAAAATTTTGCTTAGTTTATTGTCAACGTTTCAGTTCATTTCGAAACATTTTTCACCTTACGCGGCATATGTGGCTAAATTAACATGAAATATATTTCACCATATGTCTTTTTTTTCTGCGATGAAAATGTTATGTAAGAAATTGGTTAAAATTGAGTTTTAATTGAAGACTTTACAAATATTTCTTTGTCATTTAGTGATCAGAGTTTCATTAAATGGCGTTGACTCATACATTTCTTCTGCTCAAGGAGGGTCCTAGAGATATTTAACTGGTTTTCTATGAACTTTTATTGCTAAGTCTTTTAAATCGTTTTTTGTTTTTAATATCCGCCTTTTTTCCTTTAAGCATGTCTTCTTTTCTATGGACAGTGTTAAACTGGATATTAGTTTTGTGACAACAGTGGTAACAACAAAAAATGACATTAAATGATTCTATGAGGTATCTAGGTATTCTCGATTAACGCAAGATTTTTATGTGATCTGATAAACGTTATTAATCGATCCAAGTGATCGTCAAAGCGAAAATTAAAATTTATAAAGAAATAATCTTTAGTCAAACTGGAAAACAGGAAAAGGATAATTTCAGCTGTCGTAGTTTTTAATAAAATTAAGTGGAAAATTTAATTCCTTCATTTTCTTAA